CGGATTATTGAATTTTCGTCAAAGTCGCAAGCATCCCTTTCTCATGCGTTCATTTCCGTATTCGTCATTGTTAAAGGAAATTCAGGGAATGTGCGAATAAATGAACGGACAATTAATCTGATTTATTTGTTCTTTCTCACGTTGATTCGGTATGCACTACTTCTTTTTTCTTTCTTCCAGCATAATGGAGGGTTTTTGAACCTCGGAGCGGCAGGAAGACCACACATCTGGACTAGCGCATTTTTCTAAATCTGAAAGTATTAGGATGGTGCAAAAGTAATGCGCATATATTACCTCCTGTTTCAAAACAATATTTTCCATCAAACTCTTTTTGGAAAAAGATAGCATAATTCCAGGAAGCTCTTTTCATGCTCTATAAAAAGTTGGTCGAAAAGGGCTGCTGACCCCATTCATTGAATTCTATAGAGCATTACATAACCGCACTCGAAACCAGTATTTTATCGCATTTACTTCTCTGGCTAGAATTCAAGCTTGAACAAAGGCTTTCTTTATAGAAGCTACAATATAAAGTAGAAATTGTCTACAGTATATATGCACTTAAACATTTTTTTGGATATTACCTAGACTGAGATTTTGGCGTCTCAACATGGGTAGTCATTTTGATCATTCGTGGCCCATAAATTTACTTTGAAAAAAGGCAATCGCCAAAGCTTTGTCCATTTCTGTAAGCGTGGGTGGATCTCCTGTTGGCCCAACCACTCCATTTCTGTAAAAATGTTAAGCTGTTCGGTACACAGAAAATCAAAAATATTCATATTTTGGGACTTGTGGCCATCAAAAAAAATGTTGAAAAGAAGCTTGAAATTTCTGGATGTACATCATTTCCTTTTCGCAATCTTTGTTTGAGCCCTTTGCATCTTTTTTTTGTATTAACTTTCGACAAGATAAGCTGCTTGCCATTTATACCAACAAATTAATAAGAAATGATCAGTTAAGAACATTTCAAAAAAAACCCTTTTTTGCTTATCAATTAAAATTTTTCAGCATTTCTGAGATATGAGTATAGGTGCATGTGGGCTTTTTTGCGAAAGGTTTGCTGCCTCTGATGGTCCGCATCTCACTGAGAAATAAAAAATTTTGAGAAAATTATAGCACGTCAAAATGAGAATCTGCAAGCGCATTACTTTTGCACCAACTCGATAAAGACAATATCACATTAGATGCTGCGGTTTTTATCCTTTGATTCGACCAGATAGTCGGCAGGGAGGTGGCGTTTCGTGACCTAGTTAAGGCTAGAGAGTGGAATGGAATGAGAGCATGCGCGCGGGAGACACGCAGATGGGGCGCGGGTGCGAGCGGTTGCCCTTCTAGCCGCCTAATCCATTGAAACAAAGGGTATGCATACTGAAGTCGAGCCCGTTCTACATTGAGTTGAATTTTTTTCCATAATATTTCTAGAGCTTCTCTCATTTACTTAATCAGTGACTAATGGCACTCGAGTTCCCCTAACACTCTGACCCAGTTCAGGTTTCTGTTTGCTAATGCGAGGGCTTCTTTCAGCCATGCTATCTCCTGCTCATGACAAATCTATACAAAGTGTATTGTGCCCACTTCAAGCTGTCACCTTAATGACGAGGAGTAAACTCAAGTGTTGAGAACACTTACCACTTACCCCTGACAATGAGAGAACAAGTGGTAATGTAGGTGATGCTTGGGTAAACTGTCACCCACTTTTAACCGTAGTTACAGAACCTTTAATTGCATTGCAGAAA